GTCATAGTGATGAATTAGAAACATACTCCTGCTAATTATTTTCTGATATATCAAGATAAAATGATATGAAAGTCATAGTTAATATAGAATTTAACTAAATACTTTTATCTCTCAGGTAATACTGACATTACTTGATCTGGGATAATATATCACTCTACTCAACACGGAAAAACCAGAAAACAAAGCAAATTTAAACTCTTTTGTTCTTGGCCTAATCTACCTGTCACAGAGCCTTAAGTTGCAAAACACTAAAGATCTACCTTAAAACTGATCCAGGAAAAAAGGATCCTTTTGAAATGTGATTGGCAGGGGCCAGCACTGTGGCACACTGGGTAAAGCCTAGGCCTGCAATGCAGACATCCCATATGGGAACAGGTTTGGCATTCCATAGGAGCGCAAGTTCCTGTCCTGGCTGCTCCACTTCCAGTCCAGCTCTCTGGGAAAGCAGCAGAAGGAAGATGGACTAAGAGCCTGGGCTCCTGCTATCCACCTGGGAGACGCAGACTGAGGATCCCGGCTTCAGCCTGGCCCAGCCCTGGCCATTGTGGCCACTTGGGGAGTGGGCCAGCAGATGAAGGACCGCTGTCTCACTCTGCCTCTCTGTGGCTCTGCCTTTCAGATAAATAAATAAATAAATAAATAAATAAATAAATAAATAAATCGAGAGAGAGAGAGAGAGAAAGAAGGAAAGAAAGAAAAGAAAGAGAGAAAGAGAAAATCAAGTATGACAAAGGAGATTCTATTTAATTGAATTTTAAAGAAAATTGATGTGCTTTATCCTTAATTCTATCATAGCATGAAATCTTAAAATTTCCTTATTTTTTTTTTCTTGTCACTTACCTGACAGAAACCAAAGGCTAGAACAATAACATAGCAAGAAGTTTCTATCTGCCAATCACATTTCAAAGATTTACTTACTTATTTGAAAGTCGGAGTTAGAGAAAGGAAAAGGCAACCAGGAGTCCCCCTCCCCAGGCGCATCAGCAGGCAGCTAGATCCAAAGTGGAACAGCTTGGACTGCTGGCCCTGCAGGCAGCAGCTCCACCTACTATGCCACAGTGCTGGCCCCCATACTTGATTTTCAAGAATGACACTAACATTCTACTGAATACATATATACAGCTTGTGTCAGTTATGATTGCCAGTCCTTTCTGGTTCCTTCTGTGCCCTGATAATAGAGATGAACTTGTTAATATGCTATAGTTTTGCATAAATGATGCTGCTTTTGACTCTCTCAAGCATCTCAAATTGTATGATAAACACTTTCCCAATTTACAAAGTCACTTTGCATTCTATTTAAAGTTTCCAAAGAGTACTAGAAAGTACTCGCCTGAATATAATTTGTAGTAATTTTTTTTTTTTTGACAGGCAGAGTGGACAGTGAGAGAGAGAGACAGAGAAAGATTTCCTTTGCTGTTGGTTCACCCTCCAATGACCACCGAGGACGGCACACCGCGCTGATCCAAAGGCAGGAGCCAGGTGCTTCTCCTGGTCTCCCATGGGGTGCAGGGCCCAAGGACTTGGGCCATCCTCCACTGCACTCCCTGGCCACAGCAGAGAGCTGGCCTGGACGAGGGGCAACCGGAACAGAATCCGGCGCCCCGACCGGGACTAGAACCCGGTGTGCCGGCGCCGCAAGGTGGAGGATTAGCCTAGTGAGCCGCAGCGCCGGCCCAATTTGTAGTAATTTTTAAAAAGTAGTCTTTTGTCCTGGATATTGATCTATTAATATTGGTGCTAAAAATAGTTTTTTTCCCTTACTAGAATGCAAATGGGGTGTGAATAATATTAATCAGGAAAATACCCAACATTAGTATAAATCATCATGCAGTTCTATAAGAACTGAGGGTATGCAGGGGATTCCAATTCAATTCCATCAAGGTGGCATGTGCCAATGCCATCTCACTATTCCAAGTGATCAATTTCAGTTCACAATTGATCATAATGAAAGGACTAAGAGTCAAAGGGAGCACATAAACAAGTCTAGTATCTGCTAACACTAACCGATAGAATAAATAAAGGGGAGAGTGATCCAACATGGGAAGTGAGATACTCAGCAGACTCATAGAATGGTGGATGTCCTAAATAGCACTCTGGCCTCAGAATCAGCCCTAAAGGCACTCGGATCTGGCTGAAAAGCCCATGAGAGTATTTCAGGCATGGAAAGCCAAGACACTCTGGCAAAAAGATCTCTGTGAGTGAGATCCCAGTGGAAAGAACAGGTCTTCAAAGAGGGAGGTGCCTTTCTCTGAAGGGAGGAGAGAACCTCCACTTTGACTATGACCGTGTCTAAACAAGATAAGAGTCGGAGAACTCAAGGGGCTTCCATAGCCTTGGAAACTCATGACTGGTGCATAGGGAGATTACTGATGCCATAAACAGGAGTGTCAATTTGTAAAGTCAACAACAGGAGTCACTGTGCACTTACTCCTCATGTAGGATCTCTGTCCTTAATGTGCTGTACACTGAGGCTTAATGCTATAACGAGTACTCAAACAGTATATTTCACTTTGTGTTTCTATGGGGGTGCAAACGATTGAAATCTTTACTTAATGTACACTAAACTTATCTTCTGTAAAAAAAAAAAAAAAGAAATTATCAATTCCCAACTTGACTCTCACTGGGATTAAACATGACAATAGGTCTGATCTGATTTCATCATCATTTAAAAAAAATCATCTATTATTTTTCACTTTATGTTTCTGTGTGGGAGCAAACTGCTGAAATCCTTACTTAAGGTATACTAAGCTGATCTTCTGTATATTAAGATAATCGAAAATGAATCTTGATGTGAATGGAAGGGGAGAGGGAGTGGGAAAGGGGAGGGTTGTGGGTGGGAGGGACGGTATGGGGGGGGAAGCCATTGTAACCCATGAGTCGTACTTTGGAAATTTATATTCATTAAATAAAAGATAAAAAAAAAAAAAAAAAGAACTGAGGGTATGGCTGGCGCTGTGGCCTAATGGGTAAAGCCGCCGCCTGCAATGCCAGCATCCCACATGGGCACCAATTCAAGTCCCGGCTGCTCCACTTCTGATCCAGCTCTCTGCTATGGCCTGGGAAACCAGTAGAAGATGGCCCAAGTCCTTGGGCCCCTGCATCTGTGTGGGAAGACCCAGAGGAAGCTCCTGGCTCCTGAATTCAGATTGGCGCAGCTCCAGTAGTTGCAGCCATTTGGGGAGTGAACCAGCGAATGGAGGACTGACTCTCTGTCTCTGTCTCTCTGTAAGTCTGCCTTTCAAATTCATAAATAAATCTTAAAAAAATAAATATGTAGCTAATAATCTGGAGTCTTCAATGGAAACAATTCTTTGCCACATACATTCAAAAGAACTGCACACACCAACTTAAATTTTATTTACTATATTAAGATAAAAGCTGTGATAAAAGGAATGTGAAAAAAATTCCCATATTAACAAGTTGTATTTCTGTTTTCAGGACAGATAACAAAAATCTTGTGGTAAAAGATTGATTTTCATGACTGACAGGCTCTCCCTGAAATCCTAATGTCCAATTAATTCAGACACTGCACATATTCTAGTTCTCAGGGAACGCCTAGCTAAACCCAAGCATGAATGAGGACATTGCTTGTCTGTACATTAGAAGCACGCAGTCTATCAGACCTCCCCACCTTATGAGATCTATACCTGGTCTCTCCCAGATACTTCATATCTCATCATCATGGTGTTTAATTGCTTTTCCTTGTTTATTCTTTTCTCCTCCATTAATTTACAAGCTCCCTCTTATTTATTTCATTGAAGGATATTATAACCTTGTTTAAAAGATTTTCTCAATTTTATTAAAAAGACTCTTCAGTAAGTTGGCAGTCTTAAAGAAGTTTTCTCCTTCAGCCAAAGCAACATAAAGGCAATTTTATGCAAAAAAATATCAACAAGATATCGCATTTTAAAATATACTATATAGAACATTATTGTAATGCATTGTGAACACTCAGTCTAGTATTCTTCACCTAGGACCAAACGATTTGTGAACAGACGCCTTCTTTACAACGGTCCCACTTTCTAGAACAGATTAAAGGTTCATAAACACCTGCCTCCATCAAGAGGCAGTGCCTTTTCAAACTAAGTACCAAGTCTGGCACAAGCACCAGCCGGGGCATGGGAGGTTTAATTCCAGCATAAAGAGAATCTTTTAACGTTTTTCCAGAAAACCGCGAGGGTATGTCGTTTGATCAAGCTGGCCTGCTTACTTCTGAAATTTATAAATCCTCTTCATCTGCGTTAGGGTTGGAATCCATCCCCCCTCCCCTCTTCCACTGTCTGCCCGGGATCACACTTGTAGTAGGGTTGCACAGTGGATTTCGCCTGGTCATCCGACCTGGAATATGGCACGTTCTCTACTCCAACCGCCTCCAATCTCTTCTCCTCAGAGATAGGCTAAAAATGCAGCTCGCTTTGAGGCGGCGACACAAACGGATGCAACCGAAAGGCTTTGCAGGTGGCCCCTTGCGTTGCACCGGTCAAGCTCCCTACAAACCTAACAGTCCTCTCACCTACTGCCATGCTAATATTTAAGAGACCTGTCGAGGCCGCCAGGGGGATGCGCGTCTTCCCTAAGGCACCCTGGAACCTGTGGTCGCCGCCCCTCCCCCCAAAAAATTAAACCACGGCTGCGACTTGGAATTGCCCTTCCGTTTACAAAACGCTTTCACACGCGTTCTCTCTCCGATGTGCGTCATTGTTGTCGTGGCTGTTTTACTAACGAGGCAAGGATCCTGTCCACTGACCCAGTAGTCTAGGGGCCGCCTTCTCCCAGGTGGAGATCGTCCCGGTCGGAGGAACGCGCAGGTGGGACGCCCGCAGCTCGCCGCCTCCCACCCGGCCGGTGGTCCAGGCTACTACCCTCCCTCGGCGGCGAGGGCCGGGGGCCCCGTGGTGGCGGCTACTCGGGGTCTCCCGGGTCCCCTCTCCATCTCCCGCTGCGCTCGATCCCCCGAGCCCAGACCCCAGAGAGTCTCATGCGCTTTCCTTCAGGCTCACCGTCCGATCTCGCTCGACAGCATGTGGAAGGGACGGGAAACTCCGTGTCCGCCACGGCAGTCCAGGCTCTGGGACCCACGCTCGGACGCGACGGCGGTGGCTGTCACCAGCAGGCCCGAGGGCTGTCTGGGGATGAAAACCCGTCAGCAGTTAGGTGGCTGACATTTCCCAGTCAGCCGAAGCACCGCCCACTTCCGCTTCCCCGCCTACCCCGTGGGCCGAGCATCCCCGCACCGCGTGGGGTTGTGGGTATCCAGAGGGCGGGCAGAGCTGTAAGAAAAGGAAGTAGCAAGAGCCAGTCAGACTACGAGGCGGGACTACAATTCCCAGCAGGCTGCGGGGCTGCAGACGGCCGCCGGCGAGGCGAGCGGGCAGAAGAACCCTGCGCGCGCGGCGAGGATGGAACGTTACTAGAGTTCGCGGGTCTGGCGCCGGGGGCCGGAGCCGCACGCTTCGAGCCGCTGCGCGCCAAAGCGGGAATCTAGGAGGCGGGCAGCTCTGCAGTTAATGCAGGTAATTTAAAACATCCGAACCTGTGGACGCCATGCACAGGTAAGCCGTTTGCAAAAAGGAGGAGAGTATGAATGGACCATCTTAATTCTTTTAGGCCGCAGATACTGCTGCTTAACTAATATTGTTATTAATGCCGTTGTAGAATAGACCTTTCTTGGGGAAAGTGCGGGTGGATGGCCGCCTTGGTGCGGGAATCGGTGTCCCGCTTTATTTGGCTTCCCCGCGGCCGGTTTCAATCACTGTGTGATCGCCCTTGTACTTTCCTTGTTCTCTCCCCTGGAAGAAATTCTCGGGGCCTTCTGCTTGACCGCAAATCGAAAAGCCTTTTCGATTTTTTTCCGGTTACTTTCTCCTTCGTTGCCGGGGAACTCGCCGCGGGCACGTAAAAAGTGCCGTTCTGTTAGCTGCGGCGACGGTTTCCTACCGGGTGTAACCTGTAGCTTGCTTTGTGCCCACCTTGGAAGTCCTCACGGGTGTACTTCAGAAAGGAACCGAGGGTATTGTGTGCTTCTGCAGGAAACACCTCCAGGAGATTCCAGACCAGAGTGGCAACGTCACCACTAGTTTCACGTGGGGATGGGATTCCAGCAAGACTTCTGAACTGCTGTCAGGCATGGGGGTCTCCGCCCTGGAGAAGGAGGAAGTGGACAGTGAAAACATCCCCCAGGAACTGCTCTCCAATGTGGGCCACCCACAGAGCCCCCCGCGGAAACGCCTGAAGAGCAAAGGCAATGAGAAAGACTTCGTGATCATCCGCAGACCGAAGATCAATAGAGAAAATGTCCCAGGTAAGGTGTGAAGGTGTGCCGATGAAAACTGCCAGTTCCGTAAAGGCTGGCTTGAACTAATATTTGGTCGCTAAGCCTTTGTTAGGGATCTTTAGGATAGGCCTCTCTTAAAAGTGCCCAAAACTGAAGTTATTTTCCAATGAAATGGGGCAAGTTGTTGAAGTCATAGGAATCTTTGTAGATATGTATCTTCTGGTCCACCATGGATTTCGAAATTTTAACCCCTGAGAAGATGTCCCTACCTTCTTCCTTAAAAGGGAGTCGGGCTGTTCAAAGTGCAGCTCAGCGCTGCTGGTAAATGGGAATATAAACAATGATCTGCTTTTAGGATTCTTTTTGTTTATAATCCACTGCTCTGTACCCCTAAGTAAGTTTTTTGCCTTACTCATGTTAGTTGTTCATTAATGAACTGCCAAAGCGAGTGTTAAACTAAGTGGAGAAGACTCATCTCATCTCCCTAGGTCCACTCCCAAGCAGGCTTCTCCCAGTGTGCTATGTCTGTAACTCGCTCTTTGTGTTCAGCTACCAAACCCACAAACCTAAAAATCTGATCTCCGCTGTCCCCGACATCCATCTTTCCCTCTTGTGTGGTAAATATTTTTCACGCTCTCATCATCTCTTCCCTGAGCCATTAGAATGGATTCCTAATTCAGGCCTTCTCTTCCCCAGATGCATCCCCCTGAGCTGGAGTGGGTTGACTGAATGTAACACACCCTAGTGTTCTTCTACTAGCACCTTGTTCCCTGATTTCTCAGGCAGGTGAATGACTGCCTCCAGATTGGATCAGAACCCTGGAGCCTTCCAAACCGTAGAATAAGCACAGTGCATTGACATGGGGGATTATCAGTTTTTCTTACTCCTAAGTCATTTAAGCACTAATTCAGCACATACTTGCTGAGTACATACTGTGTGCTAGGCATTGTTGTAGGTGTCGGGGATGCCGCCGTAAGGCAAAAATCAACCTTGCTACCACATGAAACTTCCATTCTAATGAGGGATCACAGTAAACATAATAAATACTTAATGTAGTTTGTTAGAAAGCGATAAGGGCCATGTCTAAAAATAAAAATAGAGCAAACCAGGAGGGAGTAGAAACCCTAGAGTGGGAAAATAGATTACAATTTTAAACAGGATTTTTTTTGTTTGTTTTTTTATTTTTTTTTGGCAGGCAGGGTGGACAGTAAGAGAGGGACAGAGAGGAAGGTCTTCTTTTGCCGTTGGTTCACCCTCCAATGGCCGCCAAGGACGGCGCGCTGTGGCTGGAGCACCGCGCTGATCCGATGGCAGGAGCCAGGTACTTCTCCTGGTCTCCCATGGGGTGCAGGGCCCAAGTACTTGGGCCATCCTCCACTGCACTCCCTGGCCACAGCAGAGAGCTGGCCTGGAAGAGGAGCAACCGGGACAGAATCCGGCGCCCCGACCAGGACTAGAACCCCATGTGCCGGCACCGCAAGGTGGAGGATTAGCCTAGTGAGCCGCGGCGCCGGCCAAACAGGATGTTAAGGGAAGACCTCAGTTGGACAGTGACATTTAAACAAAGGCATAAATGGGGCAAGCGAGTGTGCCATGCAGATAGCTTGGAGAAGGAATGACCCAGTGCAAAGGCCATGAGGCAGAAGCATGACATACTTGTTCAAGGGAGAACAAGGAAGTCATATTCCAAAAGTGGAATGAGCTAGGGGGAGATCATGCTAGAGGCTATGATGTGACCTGATTTAACCTTTTAAAATGTTGAAACTGAACTGTGGGGAGTGGAGAGCAGAAACTTGGAGACCTGTTAAGCGCTGTGGGTGGAGTGATCGGCAGTGCTCAGATTCTGGATTTATTCTGATGTTGGAATGAACAGGATTAGTAGGCTGTTGAAAATGTAGAAGAGGTAATCAGCCTGCGCTGAAATTGGGTGAGTGATGAAGAAAAGACAAATTAAAAATCAAGATAAAGTCTTGGTAGAGCCAAGTTGATAAGTATGTTCCTAAAATCTCCCATCTGGTTTTCTATGCAAAAAGCATTGCTAAGTTGGTTGGTTGGTTAGTTTCTTACTTGCTTTTAAAATTTGTTTTGTTTTCCACGCTTTGTTTAGGAAATAGAGCCTTGTCCATGTTGTGGCCCAGAGATCCTCAAGAGAAACTGGATGACTTTAGAGGGGCAGTAGAGGGTGCTGGTGAAGTCAGACAAATCTGGGTTCAATCCTTTTGCTGCTGTATACCAACCTTGAAAGTTATTTAAGCTCTGTGTGCCTTAGTTTCTTTACCTGTGTAATGGAGTGATATTTACTTCATAGGTTGTTCTGAAGACAAGATGAGAGTGCCTGTAAAGCCCTTAGCATCCTGTTGACAATCACACTCAATAAGGAAACCCAGTTAATACTGGTTGACAAAATTTCCAACACCTGCTTGGGAGGCTAGTCGACTTTGTTCTTAATACTCTTAGTCTGACCCTGTTAGTGTAGAATTTTACTTCTTCAAAACTTAGTGCTATTTTTTTAATTTATTTTATTTATTTGAAAGACAGAGTTAGAAAGAGAGGTTTTCCATTTGCTGGTTCACTCGCCAGATGACCACAACAGCCAGAGCTGAGCTGATCTAAAGCTGGGAGCCAAGAACTTCTTCCAGGTCTCCCATGCGGGTTCAGGGGCCCAGGGACTTGGGCCATCCCCTGCTGTTTTCCCAGGCCATAGCAGAGAGCTGGATCAGAAGTGGAGCAGCCGGGGCCCGAACCATCACCCATATGGGATGCCGGCACTGCAGGCTGGGGCTTTAACCCGGTGTGCCACAGTGCCGGCGCCCTTAGTCTGGAATGCAGCACCAGCAATTTGATGCTTGACCACCCAAATGTGGTGAAAGATACTCCCTGCTAAGGCAAACGGACTTACCTTGTCAGGGGCCAATGGCTTTCAACATAAAGGATGATTGCTCTGTATCCTTCCACATTTACCTACACAGATATAAGTGAAAAAGACATTTGTAAAGAAAGGCACTATGGGACCAAGACAACTTTAGAGGATGGCTTCTATCTACCTGGGAATTGGCAAGTCAGGTTGAGGAGAAAGACAAACAGCTCACCGCAGCAACAGGTGGTGGCAACAAAGAAGTCGTTATCTTTTTCTCTCTCATTTCATGTATGCATTTTTGAGGTCAGTTTCAGCAACTTAGTCTCACTGATGGGACCATTCCAGGATACTTGGCCCCTTCCTTAGAACCTCTGCTCTGGCTGAATGGAAGAATCATCTGTGTCCACTTAATGAGAATCCCCACAGGGCCTTCTGCCTCTGAGTAGCTTTGGGTTCACTTCTGCACAAGGGGCTCCCTCCCTCTTGGCTCCCCACAGCCCAGGCATCTGCTGCTGCATGGGCTTGGGCACTGTAGAGATTGGTGGGGAGGGTGGGCTCTGATGCAGGAGGAGGGACAGCTGGTGTGGAGGATTCCCAGTGGGCCTGCAGAAGCATAGCCCTCCAGTGTGGCTGGATTGTCATTCCAGGGAGTTTTGTGTGCAGTTGTCAGGACAGGTGGCTTATGGCTCTGCCAGGATTAGGGTAGAGAGGCTACACCTGCTGTGCATGAATATCTAATGACTGGCCCTGGGCTGTGAGTTGTTGCTGGTTCCTTGCTGAGCAGTCCACTTGCAGGCCCCAGTCCAGCCCCACATCTGGTGACTGAATCATCTTCGTTATCTGTTTGAAAGATAAAAATTATGTGGGTGACCTGTACCAGAACAGGTCTGATTGGTCCTAAGGGTGAGTGTGTGGAAGGAGTTAGAAGGGCAGGCAGTGGTGAGGTCAGTCACAGGCAGCAAGAGGACGGTCACATTCTGTCTGTGCTCCTTAAAAGCCTGGTCCCCACCCTTTAAAC